TATTGTAAAATCATTTAAGTTTACACCAAAAGACTTCTTCAATCTATCCTGATGCATGCTCAATAATACAGCACCTCAGACTGAGGAAGTCTCTCGGATGAGAGACGAAACGTTTCTACATTTTTTTGTTGTTTTTTTTTTTTAATGTCCAGAGGACCAGATTCAACTTTTTTAGACTTCTTCAATCTGTTTAGCCACTAAAAAAAACTGTTTCAGTTGTGTTTGGTGTCTCCTCATATTGAAGAAGTCCTTTGGATAAAGGATGAAACATCTCAGGAAAAAAAGAAACCGTCCAGATGACCTGACTGAACATTGTTGCATTAGTTTAGATTAGACAAGTTTTTAGACGAACCACCAAATTAGTACTAGACCAACAAACAAAAAATAAAATAAACAAGAAATAAAAGTTATTTTTTTCAAGAAATACCTCAAATGACAAAATAATAGTAATCCAAGCCCAATGTTAAACAAATCTGGTTTGAATTTGACTTTTGTATCTGAGTTTGAGTTCTTTAAGATGTTTTTTATAAATGGTCCAAACTGGATCAATGTGTGGAACTTGCTTTATAAATACGTCCTTATAAACAAAGTGTGATAAGTCTCATATAAATTAATCCATAGCTAGCACCTGCTAAGCAGTATATGTTAAAGTTCAAGGAATATATTTGTTTGAACTGTTCTTACATGAACATCCTGCACTGAGCATCAGGATGTTCACACATCTGTTCTGTCACACTGCTGCCACCTCCTGGGAAGAAGAAATTCATGTTCATGTTAGACATGTTTTGTTTTTAGTATTTTATATCACTTAATACTGTAGTTGTTTTGTTTCGTTTATTTAATATCATCTTCTTCGATTTATTTTTTAATTTATATGCTTTCTTATATGATTGTCTACTGTTGTCATCGTTCTTTGTTAAAAACAGATCTCTCTTGAAAATAAAACATTTGATTTGTGCACTTTATTTAATGTGTTTACTTGAATAATCTCCCTATTTGTTCGAATGTATGTCTTTGTATTGTGTTGCCTTTAATAAAGTTTAATTTATTTTAATTGTCCTTCGTGATCACGTGACTTCATTGTCAACAACAGACCACGTGACCGGGAATAAGGAAGTTACTGTTCAGGAGGAGAATCATGTGAAAACAATCATTGAAACTCGTGTTTTATTTTGCGTTTTGCACCTCTGGTGTCGACATGTTTCTCTCGGAGGTGTTGGTGTGTCTCCAGCTGCTCCTGTGTCTTCAGGTCGGGTCTCTGTCTCTGATTCGGGGACAGCAGCGGTGGCCGGTCCCTTACAGGTACGAAGAGTCGGTCACTCGTTTTAGGAAGCGTCCGGACGGAGAAAAACCTAGTTCTCACTTTCAGCAGCTGACTTTTAAAGTCACGCTACATGTTATTAAAAAAAAAAAAGTTTTGAAGTCAGAGTTTCTCTCTCCGTGTTGTCATCTGAAGAAGCTTTTTAAAAAAGTGCGACATGTTTCAAAAGGAGGATGATGCGTTCAAGTGACTTCTGCAAATCTGAAGTCTTTATATTTAACATGCATTTACCGTTTATCTTTTGCGTTAACTGTCTTGGTTAAACTAAAAGTAGATTAAAAAGCTGTGTGAAGTTAATTACTTTTTTTTTTTAATTTTCAGATTTATATCTAATTGTTGATTTTCAGGATTGAGATTAAAAGTATATTCAGCTAATGTTCTTTTTTAAAGTGTATATATTGGTTGAAAGTGCACAGTTCTTTTGTTTTAATGTTAAAAGACCGTCATGTTTGACACACTCACCTGAGCTTTGAAGAACAGGTGCTACCACCAGGTGTTTCCACCATAAATGAATAAACATTCAAGATTTAAAGACAGTCTCTTGAAACTACAAATCTGTCTATATTTTAGGTGAAAGCTGTAAACTGGTCTTATTTATGTAAAAATTACCATTATACATTTGCTATTACAACATTACTTGAAATTTTTACATCATAGCTACTCTTCTTTATAAACCATAACAAAACAAGCTGCGAAAATCAACAGGAAGAACATTTAAAGAAAAAGGTTCACGGTCCAACACTCTAATATTCATCTGTACCATTGTGATGCCTCTGAGTTTTCACAACTATCTGTGTAATATGTTAGTGATGGAATGGAAAAACTAAAAATGGCATAATCTAAAAGTTTTCAAAAGTCTAATTCCTTCTGCCTCCACAGGCGCTTCGATCGTCGACCCTCTGTGGACTCGTACTGTGAAGCTCTGTATCCATTCTGTCCAACCGGAGACCGAGATGGACGCATTCCCTACATGAGAGACAGTGATGTCATCTCAGTTTACCGGCTGCAGACACCAGTATGGGAATTCAAGTATGGAGATTTACTGGGGAAACTTGTAAGTGCATAAATTTCTTTGTCTTAACAAAAACAGGTTGATGTTTTTTTTTTGTTCCACATTAGTGCCATTAGAAGGCTTTGGGTTTCCAGATACACAAACGTCATAAAGTTAAACTTCAGAGTCACTAAGTTAATTTTCTAGTCCACAAACTACTTTTGTGGCTTATCTTTTTTGATAACGTTGATTAAACACACACAAAATCTAATGAACTGCGTTGCAAAATAAAATATATTGTAGACAAGGCTTTGTTGCTGGTGATCAAATATAGCAGAGTGTTGGAAGCAGAAGTGCAGCTGTGTGACTTTATTCATAAACGCAGCTGAACGACCTGTTTCTGGTCCCAGCACATCATGCACGATGCCGTCGGCTTCAGCAGCTTGGAGACCGGGGTCAACTACACCATGGAGTGGTACGAGCTCTTTCAGCTGGGCAACTGCACCTTTCCTCACCTCAGGCCGGACGTGTCTGCGCCTTTCTGGTGCAACCAAGGGGCCGCCTGCTTCTTCGAGGGGATCGATGACGTGCACTGGTTACAGAATGGCACTCTGGAGAAAATAGGAGAACTCACAGGTAAATACGTCTCCGAATTTCTCAGAAAGGCAAAACCATCAACATTATCGGTCAAAATAAATTCTGGTCATATCCATTTTTTAAACAACGAGTTTAAATTCTTTAGACTCGTAGTTTCTAATATGTTGCGGCTTAATCTAGTTTTTACACATAATTTCATGTCCAGATTGTACAACAGGCATCGTTACTGGTTAACGGGGGCCGAGATGGTGTAGAGGCAGGGCAGCCGGCTTGGGACCCGAAAGTCCCAGGTTCGATCCCCAGTCACTGCACATCACGTGGCGTCTCTGGGCAGCACGCCTCACCCCCAAAATGCCCCCCGGGCGCTTTCAATAGCTGCCCACTGCACCACCTGGTGGTGGATGGGTTAAATGCAGAGACTAATTTCGCCATTGTATGGAAACATACAGTGCTGACATTGTGATGACATTATTATTATTATTTAAAACAAAACTGAAGGAGGGGAGGTGGAGGAAGTTTTAGTAGTCTTCAGACTTGAAGCCTAAATGTACTCAGTGTCCCCATTTGTTAAAATTTCAGCTGGTGGGGAGTTCTTTCCTCAGTTCAAATGACATTAATTCAACCTTTATTTATACAATTTATACAGGTTAATCCCATTGAGCCTCAGGGACTCATTTACAAGAGAGACCTGGTTTTAACAAACAGTGTCAACAATGGACAATCATAAAGAATGCATACAAATTTAGATTTTTTTTTTTAACAAGTGAACATAAAATGGTGTTTTAAAGGAAAAGTAACAACAAAAAACAGCTAGATTATAAGGCGATGTAGAAAACTAAAAACAGGAACATGTCTGCGTTGGTTTTTCCAGGAACTTAACAGATGTTTGAAGTCACTTAGAGAGGTCAAGGTCGAGAGCTTCAGATCTTTTTGCAAGATATTCCAGGAAACAGGAGCAAAGTAGGAGAAGGCCCTTTTGTCAAGATCAGTCCGCACTGAGAGACACTGCATGTAATAATGTCCTGAGAGCGCACGCTGTAGCTGCACTCACGCAGAGACATGAAGGAGGAGATGTATGAAGGCAGCAGACCAAGAAGTGATTTAAAGATGAAAATGTACAAGTGAGAGAATCTACGTGAAGTTAATGATGTCCAGTTAACCAGTGAATACAGGGTGCAGTGGTGGGTACAGTAGTTACAGCCAGTTATGAATCTTAGTGCACCATGATAGACAGCATCCAACATCTGCAGGGTTCTTGTAGGAGCGTTCATGTAAATAATATCACCGTAATCAATGGAGGGAAAGAAAGTCGCAGTTACAAGGTGTTTCCTAGCATTCAGAGTTAGACAGGATCTGTTTCTGAAAAAGAAACCCAGTTTAACTTTCAGTTTCCTTACTAGGTTTTCCACATGGAGCTTAAAAGAGAGATGCGAATCGACCAAGATACCCAAATATTTATAGTAATCAGTGTTGCCAGGTGTACGATAATTATCATATTTGTACAACAATTTGACCATTCCGTGAATGTGTGATTGTAATCAGTTGTCATCAGCCTCTCGCAACTGTCTGTCAGAGTTTTTTTGTGGACCCTGAAGGCATCTGTGTCTGCAAACAGATGCACGATTGGCTGGAAATTCCAGCCAATCGTGCTTTTCTAAATGTTACCTACGAGTGACGTATTTGTGTTTGCCTCAGAACAAAGGCCATGATTGGATGAATAGTCCGCTGCGCCCGCCCCATGAGTGAGGAAAAGAAAATGAAAAAGGAAAAGCAGAGCCGGTCTGGAAGCGGACTCATCACTACTATAGTGCATTAATAGATTTGTTATTTTGGTTATGACGGGTGTACGATAATTTCCCTCAAAATACGATAATTTTATGTCTCTAGTACAATAATCCTACATTTCTCACCTGGCAACACTGATAGGAATCGACAAACTCAATAGGGACACCATTTGAGGATAAAATCAGAGGAAGAACTGCTGGAACTGACTTCCTGTTTGGGGAAAAAAAAGCATCCCTTTGGTTTTGTCGGCATTTAGGACAAGTTTGAGACAGAACAAATCAGACTGGATGATGTCGAAAGTGGATTGCAAAAGCTGGAAAGCCTTAGCGACTGTTTTAGCTCAACAATAAACAACTGTGTCATCAGCATATAAATGTATTGATTCATCAGGAATGGTCTGATCGACATTATTTATGTATCATATACATCAAGTTCACACGAGAAGATGTAAAAAATGGCAAGTTGGCTTTCTTGGACTGTGAGGTCTCAGTCTCTGATAGAGGACATTTGCAAACCGAGGTGTACCGCAAACCCACCCACACAGACCAGTATTTGCAGTTTGACTCCCATCACCCTTTGGAGCACAAGTTAGGAGTCATCAGGACTCTGTATCACAGAGCAGACAGCGTCCCCACTAACTCAGGAGCCAGGCAGAAGGAGAAATCCTACACAAAACAGGCTCTAGAGCAATGTGGATATCCTAACTG